TGTAGCACTGCAAATTATGGGCTTGGCCTTCTAAGTGCCATTTGCAACTCAACAACACAGATTTTAAATGTTCACACACAACAACAACATTATTTACACCAGTTACAACAAGCTGATCGCTAATACGTGTATGTAACATTTAAAACACTAACAGGACTATTTACAAAAGGGTGAAGAGTTTGGAGAAGGCAGGGGAAGTGAACAATCTAGAGTAACATAGCTGAACTGGAAAGTGAGCTGCATTGAGAATTTTTCCGAATCAGCTACTCTGGCCTAGATTGTTCACTTCTCCCGCCTTCTCCAAACTCTTCACCCCTTTGTGAATAACCCTGTAAATATTCATTGAGAAAAAGTTTTTCTTTTTTTTTTAAATACAAGCAAAACTTGTGATCTTTTTCTCTCCTTACCTGTCAAACAAGGCTAGGAGTGTCAGCCTGTCAAAGTTGATACCGACCCACAACTTGGGCAGTATCCAGAGGCGGTAGTAGTGTTTCACTTTGTGGGCTGCCTGCTCCTGTGGCTGCATCTGATCTTGCAGGTCAGGGCTTAGGTCAATATCCTGCTGCTCCAGTAAGTCTGTGTCAATGGTCAGCAGCCTGTTTAATCGAATCTGAGGGAGAGAGAGCTACCAAAGATTCAGAAGGAGAGACAAAATTCATAAACTGCATCAAAGTGTTAACATAATCCAATAGCAAACTGATGCCTGAAAAACACTTCACTCCAGATACATAATATCCTGCTTTACAACTCCAAAGATTTTAGAATATTTAAAGGAGAAGTATTGGGAGAGTAAAATATACTCTTCCTAATACTTTGAACCATCCAGGGGCACTGCAGCTGTCATATGCGGGCTCCATAGATCAAGAACCGAGTGATCACAACCCGCTGATGTCATGGTCTTCTCCCTGCAGATCATTTTTTAAACAAAAGCTCGCTTTTTTTTTTTTTAAACAAATCCCTCCCTGCAGGGATTCGCTCCTCCCCTCTCTCTCTTCTGCCAGTAATTACTGGAGGGACAGACAGGGGAGATGGGGGGCACAGCTGGTTTTGACTCTAGAGAGGCAGAGCCAACGGGGTGGATCGCTCCCGGCTGCAGCGCAGCTCTGCGCAGTCAGCATATATTACATACATTATAGTAAATGTACTCCTGTGACCCAAAAGAGAACTAAAGCACACAAAAAAATAAGGTTATAAGGTTTGGCTTTAGTTCTCTTTTTAAACCCTCTACAAAGTAAATAGACAAAGCTTTATTAAAAATAATAAACTACAGATAAGCAGTTGCCACAAAACAGCAACTAAACTCAATTACAAAATCTTCAGTTTCATATACAATGTAAAATGCAACAGGGAAACAGCTAAAGGCTTTATAAATTATCCCCAAACAACTGCAGATTGCAAATGAAAGCATAAGCCTGTATGGTCACCTCTTCCCCATATATACATTATTATTCACATTAAGGAGTCCTGAGTCTTAAAGAAAATAGTCTGTACACTACTTCGTTATATAATATGGTTACTTTAAAAATCTGACTAAAAGCTTTACTTTGATTGAGTCGCACCAAGTTTTAACAAAATATAAACAAGATTGAGGCTTTGAAAGAAAAGAAAGCAGGTTAATTTACAGCATAGTCATTTCCCCAATGATTCGATATTTACCCACCAAAGAAAAGCTTCTTGACTAAGGGCCCATACACAGTCAGGTCAACTGCATGCCTTTAATGAACGTGTTAACATGCGCTACATTACGGCAAACCATGCATTTGAGACCGAAAATTATACCTGCTGCATTTTTTGAGTGCAACAATGCAGGTATGTTGGGGTGCTGTACAAAAGGAATTACAGTGCAGAACACCATGCATATATTGCGTGCTACTGTTACACAATGTCAAATGGCCTTTATACAAGGCCTATTGATCATGTGGACCACTAAACTCTTATACTTAAAACGAAAAGGACAGATGGCAGGAAAGGACAACTTTAGTTATTGGGACGAATTCCAATGAAAAAGCCCAGAGTATGCACAGTATTTAGGTGATCGCTGGAAGCACCTGACAAGAGGAGCAATGCAATATGCCCTTTTCAGAAATGATAGATTAGAGCTCACTTTCTACACTTTCACTGTTTCTAGGGACATTTTCAGTATGGGGGCTTAAGGAGTGCTAATTCTTTAAAAAATTCCCTAACCAAACAAAAATATTTACCAAAGATACTGTATTTGGCACCTTCGTGTGTTCTCTTAAGTCTTGAAGTACATACTATGACGAGTAAACTCTTGGGGTTACGGACTCTGTCCTTCCACCTCTTGCATCACTATTGGCTGGTGCTGTGGTCCAGAGGTACTCAGCAAGTCATCTAAAGTGCCAATGCAAGACTATCTGTTTGATAATATTTGACCTTAGGAGGACTGTTTTTAGGGCAGGTGCTGCCATGGTCCCGATCATACCTAGAAAAGTATGCATGTCACTATGGTCAATTTTAGCTCTAGGAACAGATGTCAAGCAATCCTAGGCTCTCTCAATGAAAGCTGAAAGTCACTGTACAGCCCATCTGCAAGTTGCAATGTAACTCTTTTCTTTATACCTTAACTTAAAACTATGCATTGAAAATATGTATTAAAAAGTATAGCCTTACAGCAGTGATCCTTATACCAACAGAAGAAGTGCATGTTTTCCAGTTTTCTTTGTAGAATCAAAGCTGAAGTAATCAGCATGGTTCTTTTAGCAGTAAAGACATGAAAGTACATACATGCTTATATAGTAGTTGCTAGTAGTGGTCCTCGAGAACCAGCAATTAGAAACTTTCCATAAAACATTAAAATGAGAAGTAATGACACTTAAAAGGTAAAATACAATTAAAAAGTATCTTACTAGATCATGTGGGTAGAATCTAACTGAGGTAGAACTTGAAACATGGGAATCTGTGTCACTGTAAATGAAAAAGAGATATAAATTAATTATGTTTTACCTCTACACATCGCTTTCTTTCCGAATGGTAACAACAAAATGGAAAGGAAAATTTAACTCAAATGCAAGCCACTTTTCTTGTCAGTTGCATGCTGCAACTGACATAGCTTTTGGGCCTGACACTTAAAGTGTAAATTAATGTTTAGTCAAATGGGCTTATATGGTTGCCAACCCTAGGAACCAAGAAAAAGAGGGACTTCAGAAAAAAATGGCCATTGTGTTTAAAGCTTAACTGCATGCAGATAAACATCAATAAATCAATTTAAACATTGCAAAAAGGGACATTTAAGAGAACAAATACATGACCTCATCAGTCTATTGCTGCTCTTTTACTGTCCAATTACAGGCTGGGAGAAAGGAGATCTAACTGTGTTGTTCAACTACAGCAAGAAAAGTCAGTTTACCAGGCTGGCTGTGTAAATCTCAGGACTGTATAAACAAAACCAAATACTTTGGTTGGTAAGCCATTTCTCATACATGCATTTTAAGGGCCCATTAACACCAGACTCAGCGTCCGGTGCGCAGTGCTGATCCCAGTGCATCGCACTGTGGATTTTTTTTGTTAGAACTTTTTTGAAATGTCACAAAGTACATTTCATTCAGTTCTATGGACACAGCGGGGTGCAAGGCAGTTGTACCACGTCGCATCCTGCTGCATTGAAACAAAGTAAGGCATGCCTTACTTACAGTAATGTGAATGCACGCCATCCGTGACAAGGCAAAATGCCTCGTCTTACAATGGAGTTGCGCCGGAAACAGCAGCCAACGCAGCTCCAACACAGATGTGTGACTCGGCCCCTATTATGTATTTAGTTGTTTGCCTAGAGTTCACCGTTAACCATGTCAAAACCCAACCAAAGTCATTCTGAATAATAAGTGATGTGTTAAAGTAAATTCTTTTGGAACATTAAAATTAAATGCTGAAATTCGTTAAATGCACCAACCAGAGGTTATTCGACGTTCTCCTTGCAGCGGGTTCAAAGTTCACTAATGACATATCACAGCCACCAGTTTCATACAGAGATGGGGTAAATTTACCTGCAGCAGGTCAAGAAAAAAAAAAACGAAAAAAAAAACACAAAGCTGATTAAACAAATAACTAATACATATTTCTAAACACCAATATAACCTACATCATTGCCTACTTGAAATAAACATGACAGAGATTTAAATTCATTTTCAAAAAGGTACCTGCTGCTTCGAGTGCAGTCTACACTGTTTTATGAAGTCTATTTTAGAAGTAAATGCTACCAGATTAGTTTTTTTTTTTCTGACCACCAACTTACATGACCATCAGTGAGTTCATCTTTTAGTACTACAAGGGTCTCATTTACAGAAAAGAAGAGCAGTTACCCATTGCAAGATATCATGTTTTTGAATAAACATCAGTCAAAGTACCGCAGCGCTGAATACTGAAAAATGGCCTGGCCAGGAAGGGGGTGAAACACTATGGCCTTCAAGTGGTTAAAATAAAACATTGAGTGCTAAGGTTAAAACCGATACACAGCTTCCCAACAGAACTCACTGAATGGTGGCCAGTAATAGTTTCCAGGGAATATACTGGATGTGGTACGGTATTATAGGTTAATTCATATATCTATTTTGAACTCTGATTACACAAGGACATGCCCACATTAATGTCACAGAGAATATGGATTTGACAACCCCAAAGCAAATGTTAAAAGATGAATGATTTTACACGAGTAACAATAATTGTAAAGCTAAACCTATAGAGGCCAAGTCTACCCAAAAATGAAATGTAAGGTACATGCACAAGTACTGAATCACCTGCTGGTTATTCCTGGAACTTAAGAGTAAAGGTGCCTATACACCTATCGATTTTCGTTCGGAAATTGTCTATGTATGGTCTTTCGAACAGTTGATGGGACACCAACGATTTGAAATTACTGTACTTCTGGCTGACTTTCCTTGGCCAGGCTGGAAAACTTTTTTAGAATCGTACAAAGATCGATGGATTAGTGGTTTTCGTACAAAAAAAAAAAAAAAAAGAACACTGCACATGCGCAAATGAAAATCTGTTCTCTCAATCGACAAAAAATTCAGTGAGTTGGTATTGCCAACGAACGATTATCGAAATGGACATTGGTCTGTGCTTGATGGGCTATTTGAACTAGAATGGAAAGAGGGTTCTTGGCCACAACGAAAATTTCCGATCGAAAATCTATAGGAGTATGGCCAGCTTTAGGGTGTCTGTACCAAAGAGTCCATTTACAAGGCCACCTTTTTGAAGGGCACCATTTACACAACACCAGCATTCACTACGGTCAGCATGGTGCAGGATGCTTTATCAAAGTGGAGTTAAAAAAGTAAATTTCCAATACAACAATGTCGAATTTTTTTCAAAAATATATACCAAAAAAATTCAGTTTGTCAACAACCTGAAATGCCATTTCTGTCAGTAGACTTGGCCTATGATACAGAAATCTGAAAAACTATTACAAAATATGTAGTGGGAAAAGTGCAGCTTTATTAGCGTAGACATTTATTCACTATAAAAAAAAAAAACCTACCTACAAACAGACCAGCACATCCCTAATAAGAACTACTACGATCAGCCAGGATGAAAGCAGGGAGGGAAGGAGTTACTATTCTGTCTATTACTGGTAACCAAAGGTTGGCTAACATGGTTAGATCTCAAGATAAGGGATCCAGTAAGTTGAGGTTTTGTATTTATGGCCTTGCTGCTCACAATCCAGATAAATACATAGATTATATTTTGGGTAGGCATAAGACCAGGCTTTAGCAAAGGTCTCGTACCTATTTATAAAGGAACTGCTGGCCCAGTAAACATTTCATAGAAGTAATGAACCAATCAACCCAATCTGGGTCTTTTACAAGCTCCTCTACTGGCACCAATAAAATGTAGGGCTGCAGCTAATGATTAATTTTCATAATCGATTCATTGCCTGATTATTTTTTCAATTAAATCGATTGGTTGTATTAAAAAAACTCTCTCCCTCCACAACTAATCGATGATGAGAATTGTTGCCAACTATTCTCATTATCGATTGTAATCGATTAGGTGTTGCAGCCCTAATAAAATAATTTACAAATGTTAGATGTCAGCAGTAATATATAGGTACTTTGGCTGCCTGTCTCCCTGGATTTGTCCAGCTTTTAAAGAATTACATACTTTTGCTGTATCTTATTTTGAAAAAATCCCTGGCAACGGTCGTACTAAAGAGAAAGAAATTATTCCATTCTTTTTCACACTGGCAGCTGCTAAAACTAAAGCAAGATTTAGCTAGTCAAAAGCAATATGGATGTACCCAAATGCCTTCCAAGACGTATGTATTTTTGCAAATAGACTACAAAAGAACCACTGTTAAATTGATTTTATAAGCATCACTATTCATTTAAGGTAATCATTAAAGAAAAAAAAGTAAACAAATCCAAGATTTATATGGCACCAACATATGCATCATGTAGCACATAAAAAAAAAGAGACCTACTGATACTTCTCACAAATTCAAAATAAAAAGAAAAGGTTGGTTCTACAAAACTATTCAAAAACATGACACTGTAATAAGGACACGTCGCATAGATTTTATTAAACGTATATAGTCTAAAAAATCTGGAGGCCAGGAGATATAACTTTACTGAACTCTTTGCATAATCCAAAATTTGAACACTGCATTACTTTACCATCTGTTACTGAACAAAAAAAACAACATTTACGTAGTCAATTAAAATAGTCAAATACACAATACAACTTGACTGACCATTTTATCAAAACCTTAAACAGCATGACCTAAAAAAGTGGCATATGTTTTTTGCAAATCTTTTTTACGGTGTACATTTAAAAAAATAAAAAAAACCTACAGGAACATAAAATATTAAAACTTCAGTCACATATGAGTAAATGATAGAAATGTATGTATGTTAACTGCAATGAAAATATGTTCCGATGTTAGCACCATTAAGCTGCCTGGAAAGAGAATCAAACTAAAATTAGGAAAACAAAAATGGTCAGTTAAAATGTTATCAGGTATTTCCACATTCACACAGGGGAGGGTCTGAAATGAAAAAGTATAAGTGAACTGCATTATTACCCAAAATGTGTTGCATTAAAACTTCCATGTCACCAAGGTTACATAAGGCCTGCATACCAAGTTCATCGTGCAAACTGCTATTGCCTACGGCAGATGCATTGTCATGTGAAGCCTCTAAGTGGACGCTCCCATTTCTCACCAGCAAGGAGGCGCTAGCGCTGAGCACAGCAGCCTGAGAAGGGGGGCGGGACTGGACTTTGACCTGGGTTGATGACTGCTGGCCTTGATGACCATCTTGAAGGCTACAACAAAAACAGTTATTGGGAAGACATTAAAGATCCATGAGTAACAAGCCTCAAGATAAAGAATGTTTATGTAATCTATGAACATTTAGTCAAATTTGTGAAGTTGGGTCATATTAACTTTCCTATTAGAGGAATGCAGATCTCCAAAAAAATAAAAACATGCAGAAAATACTAAAAATTGCCACATTGCAATCTTTCATAGCTAGAACTAAAATAGGACATAACTGTGCAGTAGTTGACAAGAATCAACACTTGCAGCACGTGCATTCTAAATCGATTCCTAAAAGGGGTCAACTAACCCATTCTGTAGTTTACAGCAATGGCTAGCCATCCCAGGCAGTGCCACCTCATTAAGGAAGTGTTTCAAATAAACATGAACCATTTATGTAACAACCAGTGTTTGCCAACCCTATACTTTAAAGAGACTAACTTTACCAAAAAGCTGCCGAGAGGTCTGAAGAACTGGCACCGAGAGAGGTACCTGCAGAAGCTCTCTAAACCCCCCTGCTTTACCAGAATGTCAGGCTGTTCTAATGAGGCAACTTCCATTCAAATCAAGACTTCCTGATAATGCTAAAGCCTGCCTGCCCCTTCTTGCCTCCAACATATTCCTATTTGTAGAGAGGCAGTCCTCTATGTGATATTTATTAGGAATTTGGAGGGGACAGGCAAGCACCAACACTTTACAGCATGCCTGGCATTTGGGCATTGCAGGGGGCACTAAAAGCTGTTTTTTGTAGCCATATGCAGACGACTCAATACTCGAATATGACATTCTAAATATCATTGCATTTGAATGTATAATATGTATTGCCAATTCTACTGGGGAAAAAAAAAAAGATGGATGAAGGTTGAAAACTGTTTGCAGGCCATTACATAAAGTGTTACATTTGAATGATAAACTGGAAAGTACTCAAGGGCTAGGGTGCATGGGCTTTTGAGATCAAATAAGGTCTGCTTTTCAATTTAACACATGGCAAAAACATGTCAGAAGCTCGTGAGCACTAGTCCTAAGACAATTAAAGATCCTTGCAGTGAAGAAATATGGAGGCTGGTTTAACAGTTCTTTTTCTGAAATTCTATTTTCCTGGACGTCATGCTACCCTAGAGTCTTCATTACGTTCTAAAATCTGACTCAAAAAAAGTGTGCAGATTAGAAATCCAACTTTCCTGATATGCATGCTTACTCGTGGTTGGTGTATAAAAGCTAGGGACAGTCAGGCAATGGCAGCCTCTACCTTTCAGTAAAAGTTCCCTTTTTAAGGGATAGGTGAAAATGGATTATTTTAAATCAGAAAAAAAAAAACAACAATTGTACCAGCAGTCCAATGTTATTAAAGACTCCTAAACTGGAATACTGAAAACCCTTAGGTCTGTTCCCATACTTTAGGGGAATCAGAATTTTATTTTTTTTTACAAATGGAAGACTAAAATTTTGAGGGTGAAGACCGGAGAAGATCTTTGCCAAACCTTTTTTTTTGCTGTATCAGATGACAATGTCATGCGTTTTGGAAGAAACTAAGAATGCTGGACACAAGATCTCCTCCTCACATAAACATGCACACTAAGGTGATCCAAGCATTCATGTTTATGAGAATAAAAAAATTGAAAATTGCAGTTGGATTTTGCATACACAACTTCTAAGGTCTATGGCCATCTAAAAGAAGATTGACAATTAAAAATGTTATTAACCCTTGAAGTGCGGCTACCTAAGGATCCTGGTGGCATCATGCTCTGTACACTGTGCATAGACTATGTATAGGCGTGAGGATGCCAGGAGCAGTCCATCTGTGCAGCAGAGGAGTAGACAGGCTTCAGTGATCACAAGAGCAGACAGCCAGATCAGATGGTCTGGTGAGTGTTTAGCACCTAGACACAAACGAGCACTAAACCCTTCCAGTGCAAAGGTTAATAACATTTTTTTTCTGGAGTTCCTCTTTAAATCCTAGCTACCAATGACCAAGTAACCTGTGTGCCCATATCTGGTAGTTAGAACTAGCAAATAAGCATGGTGCTCTTATAGATGTAGTCTGAATTGAACACTAACTGTAGTGCATCCGATAGATTGCTTTATGCAGCATTTAACAGTGCACTGACTGTTTGTGAGGCATGCAGTGAAGGGTGTTCGCCAATGGCACCAAATCACTTCACAAAACTAGCACTGGGATTTTTCTTTTCAATTAAAAAGGTCCAAATTGATCTTAAATAGTTTTGTAAAAGCGCATTGCGAACTCCCCGTGTTATAGGGTTATTTTTAGTGGGAAGATAAATACCAGTTTTGGCTATAGTTGCTGTAATAAACTTTTTCATCCCTTTCAACTGTTCACTGCCACTATATTTCCTAATCAAAGAAATCCATACAACACTGCAGATATGTAGGTCTATTTATAAAACGCTGCTGCAGTGTGAATAATTTAACAATCTCCAACCTGCAAAGGATACAAAGGTAGCGCCACAAATGGCATCAGGAAAACTTAGCAAACGCAATGTAATCTGACACAATTGATTTAGAAGCTCAATACTGTTAACTAGTTTTAGAACCTTAATGTATATTTCTACGGCTACATTCATACTAGCCTCCTGCATTTATTTAAATGAAGAAGCAATAAATCGGGGATTAACAAACAAGTTTACGCTTCCCATATCAAGATCTCCTAAATTTAGATGCAATTGTGTCTACATGCGTTTACATGAGTTCAGACACATTCAGAGCATCTGATTTGCCCCTGGATGCACAGAATTGTATTTGGTCTAAACAAAGCTAAACGGAATGGACTTTATTTCAGGTAAACAGTGTGAACGATACCATTTAAAATCATTACATGCATTTATATGCCTTTAGAAATGTTCTATAAAATGCAGTTATGTCACTGCCATGTGAATGAGGCATACAGCTGTGTAAGGACCCATTCTCACAGGGCATTCTGAGATTCCTGCAGCAAGAACATACGGATTCCTACATTAGGAATCCCAGGTGCCCTATTCAGAGGCAGCCACTGTTCCCATTTAAGTAAATGACAGGATGATAGTGGCCGTACATGGTACGATCACGTATGTTTTAGAATAGATGATTGTCACTGGATGCACCTATCAAGTGTCCAGTGAACATCCTCTATCCCAAACCACATGTAATCTTACCATGTACGATTACATGGGGATTGCCACTGACAGATACTTGCCACTTGTCATTTTCTTTAATTGGTACAGTGGCTGCATCTGAATGAGACACCTGCGATTCCTGCTGCAGGAATACATAGACTCTTACCGCAGGAATCCCAGAAGTCCCGGTGTAAATGGAGCCTAAAACATGTTAAAACGCTTAAAAGAAGAAGCAAGTGGCATGTAGGGATACAAGGGAAAAGATGAACTCCAGGCAGCTAAATACACTGCTGAAATGCATATTTGGGAACGGTTTTACTACCCACGGGAACTAATATTCTGTCCATCAAGTCTTAAGATTTGCAAAGATAGCAGAGTCAGGTAGGCAACCCGACTTCTCTACTGCAGTTAACCAACAGCTAGGTCACCTCCCAGCACCCAACCCATGATTGAACAGAGAAGGAAAAGCAGAAGACTAATGAGATCAACCCTCTGCTCAATTCAATCTCTCCTGTCAGCACATGTGCATGCAGCAGAGCCTGACTGGCTCTAACTGGTGCCCCTTCTCCCAGTCTAAGTGCTGGTGTACAGGGGATTACAAGAGGCTGATACTGAGTCAGATTCAGGTTGTTACAGCAGCTGCATTTAAATATGCATTTAAGGGTATTTTAATGAATACATAAATGCTTAAAAATTGTGCTTTTTATGTGCCTGGAGTTTAGCTTTAAAGCTTTACTTTAAGACACCAACCTCATGAGCAAGTAGACAGCTGCACAGCAGATCCACGCAGATCACATGCTCAAAGTGTCATGCACAGACAGCCAACAGAAAAGAGAGGAGGGTTGTACTTGTTAGGACAAAGGGTATTAAGGGTGACTGGAGCAAGCTTAGGAGAAGGTTAGAAGCCTGCAGCATGCAGTACGGTGGAGCTTGAAATACCGTACCTGAGGGGTGATCCGATGAGTGAAGCGGGAGGAGTGGGGTTACTCCCTGCATTGTGCCTGCGCCGTACGGCCTGGCGCCTAAATGTGCTGCGTTCACGACGGAATGTTACCGTCTCCTCGCTGGTGTGTGCTGCTGCAGCAAGACAGATACTTTAGGTCATATAAAAAAAAAAAAAAAAAGCAACAACTGGCAATGTAGCAATAAGTTGGTTACCTGTAAATTAACATCTCCTAAGAAGAAAATCCAAGGTCAGATATGTGTGTGTATTCCATTGCAGGATAACTGCCATATTTTGCACAAATGTTCACGTACAACAGAGGTATGAAGCAGAATTGTAAGCATAGTATGTATGTACTAATAAAATAAAAAAAAATGTAGACCAGAGTTCTACCATCAGTTTCAGTTTATGGATCACATTTAAAAAGGACAAACAGCTCAAAGCCACAATAAACAAGAAAAACAGGATTAAAAACATGTTAATATTGATAAGCAACTCAAGAAAATATAAAATAGGAAAGCCGTTATATGCCTACATAATAAGGCTACATTCACACGGGGCGTTCTGGGATTCCTGCAGCAAGAACCTATGGATTGCTACAGCAGGAATACCAGGTGTCCCCACTCAGATGTGCCCGCTGTATCCATTTATGTTAAAGACAGGGTGACAGCATTCGCAGCTGTCATTGGCAGCCCGCATGTAATTGTACATGGTAGGATTACACGTGAATTGGGATAGATGATGGTTACTGAACGCATCTATCCTCCATCCAGGGACATTCATCTATTCAGAACCGTGTGTAATTGTACTGTGGTAAGATTACATGTGGAATGCCGCTGACAAATGTGGTTGCTGTCACCCTCTCCTTAAAAAGAGAACTATGAAGCGAGTGAAAATCACTCACCTCATAGTTCTAGCCGACCTGTGACAATGAAACTGTGCCGTCGCTCACTCACTTCTCGATCTATCCGTGCAGAGAGCCGTGACTGTCACTCACGGCTCCCTGCAGGGATCCCCCCCCCTCCCCTGTCCGATCCTCCAGTGTGACTGGCGGAACGGACGGGGGAGGGTACAACTGGCTCTGCCTCCAGATAGGCAGAGCCAGCTGCCAATCACACAGCTGGGTGGAGCCAGACATAATTGTTGGGATCCGTCCCAGCTGCGGCATCTCTGTATATCGCTGTAGCTCGCGGTATACTGAGCTTTGGGTGATGGGAGGACGCTAGTTTGTGTCCTCTCGTTACCCTTAGGAGAACAATGGGGAAAAGCCCTGACCCCATAGTTCTCATTTAACTTCAATGGGTACAGGGTACCCCTGGGCCGCACCTTGCACAGGAATCGGAAGGTTTTTGCCGCGTGAATTCCAGAACACGGAATAAGTCCCCATGTGAATGGGGCCTAAGTGAACTGTACAATATTGCAGCTGCTCCCAAAGGAGAGGTGTAGAAAAACATATGCAAAGAAGCCACCACAAGAACCAGAGTGTTAGTGGAAAGCTCCAGAAACTGGTTGGGAGACCTCTGGTCACAATTATACTTTTGAAAACCTTTTGGTGCTCTATTTAGGAGAGACAGTGTGTGCCCTCTGAAGTTCAGTTTTACATACTTCACACATTCATACTACAGAAATTTCAGTTTAGGAAAGAGGATAGTGATAAACGCCTAAAGAACAAAAAACCAAACCAGTTTACTCAAAACAGTGTAACACGCTAAATCAGATGATAACGAAGATATGCATATACATTCAGCTGATCAGATCCTTGCAAGATTGTTTCTTCCCTTAAAGAAGTAATTTATTATTTTGAGGACAGCGAGCAATATAGGGCTTGTATTATTACCACTTTAAACGCCAACAATACTTACAGTGCAGGAAACTACAAAAAATAAAATCAATAACCCTGGAGAGATTTCATTTTTGAACAGGGTTATGGCACAAGAGCGTTATACTTGACATGAACTGCTTGCAGTCTGAATCATTTCCTGAAATTTCCTTGATTTGTTGTGGTTTAGGAAGTCTACACTGAAGTCTGAAAACCACAATAAACAAATACAGAGCACCTGCAAAGTGACTCAGTCTAGAATGGGAGACTTAAGCCAGCCCAAAGGAAGTATGAGATGGGTCTACACATGGCTCAGATTTGTTCTATACAGCTGCCATACATTTCCATAAATCTCTTCATTAAATGAGAAGCTTATGTTGGCGTTAAGTTTAGAGCAAAACTGCCAGTTATTTCTAACTTCCGAAACAAAACCTCTTAGGTCAGGCAAGACAGATAGGTACCTACTCTTACCTTAAAGAACAACTCCAGGATGATGTTTTCTTTACCTTTGCAGTGGGGCTACCACCTCATTGCAAAAGTCAAGGTTCACGACCTGCCCATCTTGGACAGGCAGATCGTACTTGCGATCATCGACCGCTGAGGGGAGGGCTTACAGATGATTGCAATGGTGAGCGGGCAGTGTGCGCTTATGCACCTCTGCCCGTGCGGCTTTCGTCTTGCGATCGTGTTACCAACCTTAGGTTTTCTAGCGTGCTTGGAAGACGAAAGTCGTGCGACCTTACAGTATATGCGGTCGCACGCTGCCCATACACCTTATAACCGCGGGTTCCCCCACGATAATCGTCAGATGTATGGGCAGCTTAAGAGGAAGCTGGCTCAGAGCTTCCGGTGAGTAACTTTTTAAAAAAAAAATTTAACCTACACATAAGCGAGTACTTAACCCTTGAAGTGTGCGGGTAGCCCCACTGCAAGGGTTAATAAAGTTTCCTGGCGTTCTTCAAAAGAGACACGTCACCACCTACTAAGATTGAAGATCTGTGCTCCAGGCAGCGGCCAAGGAAGCATTGAATGAACTGCATAGACTACCTATGCAGGCAGAAAAAAGTACAATATCGACCCCGTTTGCAGCACAATTTTAACAGGGATTCTAATAAGAAAATCATCCACTGCTTTTGCATTATAAGTGAATCAGAAAAACCTCTTCATCTTTCTATGCACGGGTAGTGACAGGGCCTCTAAGAAGCCAGAAAACCCTCCTATGAGCATCCCATCTGAAATCAGAATTACTAACGGTTTGACTTCAGGGTGAATTAAACCACCCCCTATTTAATGAGAGTGCTCGTAGTGAACACTAACGCAGGCAATGAACAAATGAACCACTGGTGAGCTGGGCTTAAAAGTAAGTTTTCTGAACAGATGTTCGATTTGCTAACAATTAACAGGGTCATTTTGACCGGAGATAAAGAAGGAAAAAAATAAAATAAGCAGTAAGGAATTTTTATTCAAACAAAATTCTAACAAAGAATGTGGATTTTGCTTCATTCCAAAATCGAATGTTAAAACTAGGGATGCACTGATACTAGTCTGCGCATGCCCAGTAGCAGACTGAGGGCCGATCACGTAGCCGCTGTACACACAGGAGACGTGGGCAGATCCGGGAGAGCTTGAAGAGCGGTGTCTGCTCAGCTGGCCCGAGTGACGGGTACGGTAACGACTGCTGCTAAAGGTGCCCACACACCTTGTAATAATCGTGTGATAATCGTATGATAATCCCGCAATCGTACGATTATCATAAATATTCGGTTTTTCACTTATATCTACTGAAATAAAATTGATCTGCACCAGGAAAGGCGCCCTTTTTGGGCTTACTTCCTAGTGTTGTGGATAATGACACGCCGCCTGGCTTCCCGATTGCCCGGGAAGCCGGCTCTATGCTACCGGAAGTACCGGTACCCGGTATCAGCGAGTACAGAAATATAAATATCGGTACTCATACCCAATACGGAAAAACGGTATCGGCGCATCCCTAGTTAAAACCAAAATGAATATGAAATAACATTCATGAAGTCTCTGATGGCATTAAATGTTTTGATTTTTTTTGTCTGAATGTTCATATGAGAATCCAACAGTGTATGGGCAGGTTTAGTTTTTAAGGCTGGGAATTTGAGCCCTAGTAACAAACGGAAAATAAGACAAAAAGCACGAAGGCGGCTTTCGGACTTCCAAAAGTAGCAACAGCCAGATTCTTTTTTTTTAGAAGTCCTGCTCTTATGCAGAACTTTTAAATATGAAAATGACTCACAACTTTGCTTTAACGTAAACAGGAAGTCTATACTTCCGCACTTTTATGCCATTCAATATAAATGTCAGTTCACCACCCCTTAAAAAGCTGCTAGCTATAATTAAACAAAAAAAAAAAATTGTATTCACGGCTTTCCACATTTTCTTAATGCAAGATCCATGAAGATAGGAGAGTATTGACAGTTTGTCTGCAAAAGGCAACTACACATGGATTGTAGACAATTACCAATCATAGAGAAGGCACCTGGAGGAATCCTACATTTGCTGATGAAATACTGTGGGAGGACTTGTGAGCTACAATACCTATATCAGTTAATCAACACTGTTTATTACTGCAATGAGAGAAGCCAACAGGGAAGATTCATGTACAACAATTAAATAAAAGCACACAAGTATTCCTGTGATTTATATCTAGCAGATCAGACTTAGAAATGCTTAAATCTAAATATATAAAAGAAACTATTACAACATAATCCCTCTGTAAACTACCGCTTCATTTATTAATTTTTTTAGACATACTTATGAAAGAGATCACCTTAATGTAAAAAAAAAACCTTATCATGTGTGTGGTATTGGAAGGAAAACCTTGTCTCTATGTACATGGTGGCAGGCGTTGATCCCTTTGTCTCACTGATGAAAACAAACTGTCTGGTGTAATCAACTGCCAGAGACCATGTGGCCTAGGGCTTGTGACTAAGGAAAAATTGTTTATCAAGGCCAGGAAGACATCCTTCATCAAAATAATGTGATTTTGTCATACAGACATGAGTATGACATGAGTAGCAAGCAGCAGTCAAAAACAAATCGGCAACAGCCAAACCAGGGCGGATGCTATGATCTTTAATGAGCACAGAACAAAGAATTTTACAGCGAGTACAATAATCCAATTTTATATATCCTTATTGAAGTACACAGCACAGATTGGAAGATCTTAACCACTGGGATGTAAACAAGCGGGCAAGAGGAAATCAAGAGGATTTCGCTGCTGCCTGTAGGACCTTACGCCCAAAATTAGCATCCGAAGATGCAAAAACATCAACTTTATAAAACTTA